TCTTTTAATTTCCTGGCTACTGGTGTCAAGAGTGTTGACTGTGGAGCCAAGCACAAAAAAGCTGTGAACAATCTCAATCTCTTCACCATCCATCCTGATACTGCCAATTGATCCAGTGGTGAGAATCTTTGTTGTCTTGACATTGAGCCTGAATCCATATTGAAGGCTGCAGTCCTTGACCCTCTTCTAGTTAGTTTTCTTGTTAGATTTCTTAATCCTAAAACAAAACAAAACAAAACAACAACAACAAAAAACCAAGAACACACACACACAAAACACCAAACATTCCTTTCATTCTGTTATCAACTATCTCAGATGGTGTATTGTTGCTATTGTTGTGTGCTGTCTAGTCAGAACCCTCTTAGTAGCTGACACTTCAGTGGATTTTCAGAGGCAGTAAATCACAAGGGAGGAGATCCTTTTCCTTCAGAGCAGCTGGTAGATCCAAACCCTCCTGCTTTGGGGATTGCAGCACAGCTTCTTACCACTAGGCCACCAGGGCTCCAGAAATTAATAATTTGAGATTGTAAAGGACAGTCTATTAGCTAATATAAAGTAATACTGTGGTCTATAATTCCTTGCCTCCAAGGTTTTTAAAGATGTCTCAGAGCCAGAGAGGCATGAACATGTCACATGCATGGTTGTTTAAACTCCCCATACCTCAATATTTCCATATATTTAATGGCTATAATTGGATACAGACCTCATGAGCCCCTTTATGCATAGATAATCAGTAAATAAAGTGTCTGATTTATAATAAGCAATTCAACTCTGTTAATATTCTCTCAATAAAAAATTAAATACTGACATTTAATTGGGACCATAGAAATGATGATTGTTGAAGGAGAAGCAAGATAATATATATCTGACTGGGTGTTTTATTTTCTTTTTCTTCCTTTTTGTTTCAGTGTGCACCTAATTGGCCTATTGGTTTGGCAATATGATATTTCAGTGAGCCCGGTTTCAGCTCTAGTAACTGACATGTTTAATACCTCCTATGGTGGACGCTTGAAATTTCCAGACGGGGTACAAAACTGGCCAGCACTTCCAATCGTCATAATAATAGTCATGACAATAGGTGGCAATATCCTTGTCATCATGGCAGTAAGCATGGAGAAGAAACTGCACAATGCCACCAATTACTTCTTAATGTCCCTTGCCATTGCTGATATGCTGGTGGGACTACTTGTCATGCCACCCTCTCTGCTTGCAATTCTTTATGGTAAGTACGATTCCATTTTTTCTGTCAAAATTTGTAAGAGGTGCCAGAATAAGCACTCATAAAGTTCTTTTTTTAATTTGTAGGAAAATTAAGATACAATCAAATTGTAATAACAACTTGAATATGTTTGCTAAAGAAAACAACAGAAGTTCACATTTTGTATCAAAATCTTACATAGTTGCCCAATGCCATTTGATAACAATGTCTTAGAATATATGGGAAGGGATGGTTAAAGAATCATCCCACATACTGAATTTTGGACAGTACATTTACCTGGTACTATATATAATTGTAATTATTAGGTATAGGGTGTGATAGAGTTGCCATCCTCAACATCTTTGGGACACTTGTCAATCCATCTCATCGAGGGTTGTCCTGTCTTTTGCTGACCCTCTGCCCTTCCAAGTATGGTGTCCCTTTCCAACATTTCCTAACAACATATCCAAAGTATGTGAGACAAAGCTTCACTATCCTTGCCTCCAAGGAGCATTCTGGTATTACTTTCTCCAAGATATAGCTGATTGTACTTTGGCAATTCATGTGATATTCAGTACTTTTCTCCAACTCAAGGATATCAATCTTCTTTGATCCTTATTCATTGTCCAGCTTAAAAAGAATAGCAAGTGATTGAAAAGACCATGGTCTGCATCAGTCTACATATGGACACCATTTCTCCTTAGAAGAGGTCCCTGCCTGCTAAATTTTTCAATGCACTATATTTCCTGATCTGACTAGAAGTTGTGAAAAATTCAAATGGAACCTATGAACATCGACATTCTAAGCATTATTGAGTTGAGATAGACTGGCAGTGGTCAGTTTGAGTAAGATAATCAAGACCACTTCACTTTATTGTTGTTAGATGTCCTTAAGCCAAGTATGACTCATTGAGATCCTATAAACAGCAGATCTGAAACCTGTCCAATCCTGTGCCATCCTCATCATCCCTGACACACTTGAGCCTATTGCTGTAGTCACTGTATCAATCAATCTTGTTGAGGGTCTTCCTTAATTTTGCCAACCATCCTCCTTTCCTAATATGATGTCCCTTTTATAAGGACTAGCCTCTCCTAGCAACATGCCCAAAGTATGTGAAACGAAGCTTTGCCAAATCAAATATCAGCTTGGAGAAGGGGAGATCAGGTTCATTAAAACAGCCGTAGGTTATATAATCACTTTAGGATTACTTACTAAAGGAAATCTAAAGTTTTCCAAAATAAGTGGTTGGTGCAAAGGAGACACTCAGTAACAATTATTATTCTTCCTCATGCAGTGTATAATTCATTATTTTATCAGGTTATTTTATAAGTAATTTTATATCACCATAAAATTTGAACATTTTCAATATATTGATTATAAAAGATATATCTGTGTGTATGATTTCTTAGCATTTTTCATTTAGTTTGCAGCTGTATCTGTGTAAGTTTTTAATAGTTAATATTTATGTCTAACAATAAAAAATCACTTACACAGTACTACAAAACTTTACTAGGAAATTAGACAGCCCAATTTAAATTGAATTGCTGATATGCTCATCTCACAAAGGAATGAAAATTGACTCTCTGTCCCTGGCATGCATAACAGGATTACACTAAATGGAATAATATGGAGAGTATATAAACTTCTCAAATCCTAAAAAATATCAATGTATGTAGAAAATAATTTCTCGTGGCATTTAGAAAATTTTTGCTGTACTAGGTAAACAATAGTAACAAGTACTAGGCATTTCATTAACAATATGCTCTGAAAACACTGTTTTCTTATATTGACTGAGTTAAACTTCAAAATATGAACATTTTACCAGCTCAGTAAGTTTTTGGTCACACTGAAACTCCAAAAGTATGTATGAAAATGTTATTCAGATAAAGTGAAAGTGTGATTTAGATAAGAATTCCTGTGAACACAACATGAGAAGGAAAAAAAATACATGATCTGCTTCAGTAAAGTTTACATCTTTAGAAATCCTGAAGGCTAGTTCTTCTGTGCCCTGTAGGTCCTTATGAATTGGTATCAACTCATTGAGTTTGGTTTAATGGGAAATTTAGATATTATACTTTGTCTCACATTATCGTCTTCATTTGATCAGTTTCTTCTCTATGGCAAACAACAATTATCAAGAAAATACAGGTAAGCATTTTTTAAAATATATTCTCTTCTTTCAAATAAGCCCGTTTGGCACCAACAATGAGATCCTTAGTTCCAAGATCTCTTTTGAATTTAACTAAAATTTCTGGCAGTTCTCGGTTGATGTATAATTGCTCCAGTCATGTTGAAGAATTTTTAGCATGACTTTACTTGTGTGCATCAGTAAAGATATTTTTCAGCAGTTTCCGCATTCCATTGGATTGTTCTTTTTTGCTGAATGGGCATGAGTAGGGATCTCTTCTAGTCTGTTGCCAAGTATCTTCAGAATGCTTTAGCATAGATGAATAAGCATGTCTAGGGTTGTATCTGTTTATTAAGACATCTCATTGATATTTTGTTAAGTCCTGGAGCCTTAATCTTTGCCAGTGCCTTCAGTGCAGTTTGAACTTCTTTCAGTACCAAAAGTTCTTGATTATATGGTACTTCCTGAAATGGTCCATTGTTGACCTATTAATTTTTGTATTTTTAAAAAAGTTTACATAAACTAATTCATATGCATTGTATTTCATTCATGTACTGAGACACAGATTTGTACACCAATGTTTGTTATTCACTGTTATTCACAATAGTAAGAAAATGGAAACTGCACGAATGCCCATCAACAAACGAATGGGTGGAGAAATTGTGATACATTCACACAATAGAATACAATGAAACACTAAAGAACAACAATTTTGTAAAATACTGTGTACCATGGGAGATTTGGGGGAGCATTTTGCGGAGTGAACTCAGTTTTCTAAGGGTAAATACTACCTAAGACTATTATTGTAAGAATAGAAGAGTAACTAGTCAAGATATATAAAATATTCTTTTCAGTACAGTGATTCAATGTATTTCTTTCAACTTTTTGATGCTTCCAGTATCATAATAGAATCCCTACATATTTCAAATTGAGGTTTGATTTTGTTCTTCAGTTCTTTCAGCTTGAAATGCTGAAATACTTGAAATACTGAACATGTTATTCTTATTTGGTTTTCTAATTCCAGGTCATTGAACATTCCATTGTACTACTTTGCTTTATCTTCTTGATATGCCCTTGATTTGCTCTACATTCTAGAGCAATTCTCAGTCTTTTTTTTTTTGCATCCATTTTTGTATTTCCTGTCTTTTTAATGATCTTCTGCCTTCTTCGTGTCTGATGTTCTTGATGTCATGCCACAACTATTCAGATCTTCAGTCATTAGTGTTCAATGCATCTAATGCGTTTTTGAGATGGGTTTTATATTCAGGTAGGATAATCTCAAGGTTCTATTTTGATTCCGGTGGACTTTTCATTTTCTTCAGCTTCAATTTGGATTTGCATATGAGCAATAGATGGTTCTTTCTTTAGTTGTCACTTGCCCTTGTTCTGAAAATATTATCTTCTCTACTGTCTCTATCCTGGATATAATTCTTCCAACAGGTGAGGCTCATATGCCTCCCTCTATGTTTTTTTGTGAAGAGGTCATTTGTAATAAATAAGTTACTTGTACAAAATTCTGTCACACATTCTCTGGCCTTATTTCTCTCACTACAGCCATATTTTCAGATTACCTGTTCTCCTTTGTTTCCAACTCTCACCTTCCAGTCACTAGTTGTTATTGATACATCTTTATTACATATTCTGTTAATTTCAGACTGCAAAAGTTGTTATAAATACTCAGTTTCTTAATCTTTGGTTTTAATGGTTCACGTATACACTTGAATAATGGCGATAGTCACAGGTCTTCCTTATATATGTATGGATATTATCAATGATAGCAGTGTACTTCAGGGTGGATCTTGAAATGTTCCTTCTGCTGATGAATGGCATACCATTGTCTAAAACAGAATGATCAGGACCAGTCAATTTCAGCTCCCAAATGCCTAGGATGTTGGTCTTTATGCATTCTGTTTCACTTTTGACTACTTTCAATTTTCATAGATTCATACTTCTTACATTCCAATTATTGTTGGATGTTTCAACTGTTTCTCATTTTTAATCATTCTACACTTGCAAATGAAGTTCCCTCATTGGCTCTAAGCCACATATCTGACAAAGGACGAGTAAATGAATGCCATACAACTGCTGAAACAAATTGCCACATACGTGGTGGCTTAAAGATGCCTTGGTGAGGCTGTGGGTAATGTGTTAGGCAGCTTACTAGATAGAACAACTGCTCTGTAGGAGAAAGATGAGGTTGTCTGTTTCTATAAAGATTTAGAGCTGTGAAAACCCTGTGAGCAGATCTGTTCTGACTTGTAAGTTTGCTGTGAGTCAGAATGGACTCAATGACAGTGAACTCGTGTGTGTGTGTGTGTGTGCGCGCGCGTGCGTGCGCACACGTATGTGTGTACCTTGGAAAAGAGAAATGGATTATCTTACAGTTATGGAGGCCAGAAATCTAAAAGTGGCCTTTAACATAGACTTGCTCCATCCATAGGCTCTGATGAATCCATTCTCTGCTTCTCCCAGCGCCTGGCAGTTGCTAGCATTCTTTGGCTTGTGGCTACATCACTGTAACAAAAACAGCATTGTTTTTTCATCTTTCTGAAACCTTACTTTGCCTCTCTCATATAAGGATACAGTTAATGGCATTTAGGACCCACTCAGTCCAGGAACTCTGGAGGAGTAATGTTAGACAGCTAGTTGAAAAGTAGAGCGTTGGATATAGCAGCTTCTCCTTGGAAAATACTTGGGAGTCACCACTTGTTTTACAATCTCAGAAGAACGGTAGAGGACCCCTCCCTCACCCCCCCCCACCCCAGGCATAAAAATCAACTTGAAAGCAGTGGATTTGGTTTTCAGATAGTCCACGAAAATCCTTAATTACATGTTCTAAGATCTTTGCTTTCTTTTTTGGCCATATTCGTACTATAGATTAGGTTGCAGATATCTT